CCCCAAAACCCCAAAACCCCAAAACCCCAAAACCCCAGCACAAATAATATAAAGTAAATTAAGCTGATAGTAGATAATTTTTATATATAAAATGGACAGAAATGACTATAGATCTGGAGGTATTTAATCTCAAGAAGCAAAGATAGAAGAGCTGAGACATAAGATTAAAGATTTGAGGGAACAAATTGACTAGAATTAGGTTAAAACAACTTTGAAGAAAGTATCTGAGAAGAATGATTAATTCTAGGATATAAGTAATTTCAACTTGACCGTGAAAAAAACAATAAACAATAGAGAGGCTAAATTAGCTGGATCTACCAAGAAACAAAATGAAAGCGAGGCCAATGTACCAATTAACTGTATTGCATTCAATCAAAACGAAAAGTTTTAGAATCAGTTTGCAACATGCGATGAATCAGGCAGATTATCTCTTTGGGATGCTAAAAAGGGCTAGCAAATAGTTGAAGAGCCCAAAGTGACTAATGGATTACTGATGACTTGTGCATTTGAAAACAGAGAAGGCAAACTGCTAGCCTGTGGAGGTATAGATACTAAATTGCACATTTTCTCAATCAATCCTAGTGGAAAGAAAAAGGAAAAACTTAATTTGATAGAGAAAGTGATGGAATTCACAGGTCACTACGGTTTAATTACTTGCTGTGGCTTCTTATCTTAGCAGTTCTTGATCAGTGGCTCTAACGATAGCTCGATTATGCTTTGGGATTTTGAAAAGCCAGGCAGGTTCCTAGTAAAGTATTCAGACCATCAAAATGAAGTGCTAGCCCTAGATGTATTCAATCTTGATGGAAACATCATTGCAACTGGCTCTAATGATGCTACCACTCGCTTATGGGATATCAGAATGAAGAATGCCTGTTTCAGGATATTTGAAAAGAATCAATGCGGTATCAGCTCTGTCAAATTCATGACTGACTGGTAAGTGTCCTTATATATAATAGAATTTTTATAGTGTGAATACAATCGCAGTTGGTTGTGATGACTCATCAATTAAGTTATATGATCTAAGAGCTATCGGTAAAGTAGGCAAGTATAAAGAGGAATAAGGATTCGAGAGTGTGCAGTCTTTAGCATTCTCAAACAGCGGAAGATTCCTTTTCAGCTCCTACTTCAATAATAAAATTAAAGTCTGGGATACGCTCACTGAGCAGAAGGTATCATAGATGTAAGGGCCTCACAAAGATGCCATTAAATCCCTATCAATGTCATTTGATGGATCAAGTCTTATATCTGCTGGAAAAGATGGTATAGTCACTCTTTGGTAATGAGAAAATTGAATACTTTGTATGAATTAAACAGTATAAAATTATTTATTCTAAGACTTTTATTAAATTTAATAATTAAAGTGGATGATTAGTGATTTAATGAATCGATTTATCTTTTATCTTTGTCTTAAACCCTGAACTCACTTCTCAGAAGCTATGAATTTTTCATATTCTGCTTATACATTTCGTCACTCCTTCTGACTACATATATTATTGTCCTCTCACTATCCACTAATATCACTCAAACAAGGCTTAAATTTAAGTTCTTAATAAAAAGTTAAAGTTTATTTAATTCATCATTAGAATCCACCTTGCATTGAGTTGAGTGCAGACATAACGTGGTTAGGTGTCTCGAAAAACTTCAATACGCAGTTCTAGAATTGTCTCTTCTCGTCAGCTGAGAGTTGGTCAGTTGAGTGGGTCTTCTTGACGGTCTTCTCTCTGCAAATGCTAAGCATTTTTGACATAAGGGCGATGTTGGCTTCAGCGGCGGCTCTGTCCATATTTTATCAAGTAATTATTTAATAATTATATCCACAAATCATAATCACCTTATATTCTTTTATTCCTTTCCATTGGGGTTTTGGGGTTTTGGGGTTTTGGGGTTTTGGGG